AAAGCAAAAGTTCAACACCCCGTTATGGTTTATTGCCTTGTCCACCGTATACTCGAAGAAAGTATCGAATGTTACAGATCGCAGATCTCAAATTATCGCAGATTATCTCAGATCGCTTCATTTAGGCATCATGGACGTGTATGTGTATTCTCCTAAAATCTACCCTGATTTTCCCGGCTTATAATCATTATTGTTATTTAGGAAGCTGAATAGGTCTGTTCGATAGTACCTCCACCTCCGCTTTACTGATGAATATATGTCTAAATTCTTACATAGAATGGTTGATAATACGTATAAACATAATATATATTATGCATCTAAGATCTATGTGTCGTCCAACGTCAAAATCGAATACTTTTTTTTTTGTTATTTTCATCGCCAATGACAATGGCGCGGGAATAAAACAGTGGCGAGAGGTGACGCACGCGTAGAACAAAGTACCCACATTCCAATCTTAGTTTGTAATAACAAATTCCGGCAGTGAACAAGAGACCTCATTATTATAGTCACCTGGCACACTTTCCATCGAAGCTTGTTACCTATAGAGTATTGTTCTGCTGATTCGTGACACTCACGGCACGTGGCCGCAATCTGACGCGTCCCTCCCGTTAACGGATTCCATTGTTGGGGCCCATTCATTGGTTGTAATCATTGTTTTTAGAAATACTGTTTTTTTTGTCTCGGCCAGTTATGTGTTGAAAACCCAAGTTTTGAACAAGTGACATTCTTTCATCTCGTCTTGTATCTCCCTTGCTAGGCCATTCATTATCGCAATGCGAGTCACGTGCCGAGTAGCTTCTTACACGCGCAAAAAGGCCCTGCGCCCCGGTAATCGACACCAGTAAATAAAAGTTGGTTTATTTCAAGTTGAAATATCACAGGTTGCTCGCCAAGGTCTCGTTTCCGTTATATTATCAACTACAGAAGAATATAATACACTTCCTTCTGAAGAATATTGCTTTGTTGATTTGTCAAGTAAAACTGATTTACTCCGTCACATGTGACTCATACTTTATCGAGTAGAAGTGTTACAGTGCATCCCACGGACCCATCCTTCAACTCTTAAAGCATTCATATAGCTTTATTGGAGTCGTGGGACTATTATATTGTTTAGTGGTCTAAATTTGTGAACGTATGTGAACGTTAGTAATCGTTTAGTTTTGTTCTGGCAATGCACATACCATTAAATTTCACATAATAGTCCCAATATCTCAATAAATCTTTATGAAATCTTCAGAGCGCAACTTTAAACATTGACATGTAATGGGAATAAGTTTGTTTTCAGCATTTATTTTCGCCCGACATTTAGTATATGTAGGTTCCAGATGTCTTATGGTCGACGCCGGCACTGGCTATGGAGTACTGTTGTATGTCGCGATTGCGCATGCTCGAAAGACGTCGTTCGTTCCTAATTTAGCCTTGGGGCAGCGGGCTCACCGTACTGAGTCATTAGAGTTGTTAATTACGACGCGTGCAGCTGTACGTCTCTACGATAAGGGCCACCTACTTCTGAACCGATAAAACGGCAATGACAGAGAACGAACCATTTTATATTATGTAAAGTTAGATCACAAAGTCACCCAGTCGTGTGGGTTTTCGGGTAACAGATATACACTCCGAGTCTGATATGCGGCTTTAGCCTAGAGTAGAAGGATGGGCTGCAACAACGTAATGTCAAGATAATTAGACAATCAAATCTTAAATCTGCAAAATTTGTTATCAAACGTTATTATCGTTTATTTTAAATTGGTCGAATTTGTTCCTCATTACAAACTATGCTGTTTTAATAACCTATACAAATTACAATGGGAACTCAAATCTGGGGATTTGTATGGGTATATTTATCAAATTATACTTCGATTGGAAAGTTGTGTAAGCGAAAGATAATTTATGTCAAATAAAGAAATGACATATACATCAGTTTCGGGAAACAACAAACCCAAAAGTACGAGCACAAATTCCACGTGCATAGCGCCGTATAAAGATCCCATTGCCATTTGCAGTTGCGATTCCGTATATGTGTCTCTCGTAGTTCGACGATAAATGATCATCCCAATCCCGATAATCGCCCAAGTTCAAATGAAACAAAACACACCAAACGGGAAATACTACCCGAATCCGTTCTTGGTTTATAAATAGATATAAACTTTATGTACTTTCTTTTTTTATTCATCGAGGTTTTTGACATTGTCGTGTAGATTAATTAGCCAAACATTGGAAGTTTTGTTGATGCGGGAGAAACGCTGCCTAATGAGTTTATTTAACACCGCCAAACGCGTAAACATTGCAAGTTAATTATTGGTGTACTAACTCTGTGTACTCGCGGCTGTTACTAGTCCAGATATAATTTCAAAACAAATATTTTTCCCCAATTAGTTTCAATTCCGAGGAGAGCTGGTACCAGGAAATTTGTTATATTTTTAAGTTCCACAGTCACGTGACAGTTGGGGTGAAACTGACGCTGTACGTGTTGCCGGCAAGGTTGTGATGTGATTTTTCTTGCGCCGTTCAGTCCCTCTAGAAAGTTATAACGAGATTTGGATGACCATCTAACTATGCAAAGGCATAAACAGGCTTAAAAAGTAAAAAAAATATCCCCCCTCTCTCTCTTAGTACAAACCAGACGTTGGTATAAGTCACAATTTGACTGTGTTCTTTCTTTTTTCATAGACCTCTATACTATTCTTGTATGTCTCGTAAAATTAAAGAATTTCTACTGCAAGACCCGTACTAGGTAAAATATGTTCACAAAGAAATCACACGAATGAAATGATTTATTGGAATAAGAAAAAAAAAGTAAAACATGACGATTTTCAACAAATATAGGAGTGCAACACATGAGACCTGGCATTGGTTGAAATGCTGGTCCGTCTATACCAATTGTGCGAAGTATAGTTACGAGTAGGTGAAAAGATCTGAAGAGTATACGTGATTGGAGAGGGAAAACTTTACTGTGTGAAAGTTGCATGTATTCCACGGCTGTCTGTGCCGCGCGCCTTTTGTAGGGTAAATAAATGAAATTGAATGTCTTCAATATTTGGTCGAATCCAATTCTATCCTTTGTCTGATGTCATAATTGCTTCGTAGGTTGTGTATATTCACCGCCACATTTGGAGCAACGATGAAACGATATAATACAACTTAACGTAGCCGACACGTGTTGTGCGGTAAACTGACTCCTATAACGTTTATTAATAGGCAAATGATGGGGTAAACGGCACTGGCGTTGTTGACAGGCGCTCTCTCTTTCTTTTCGCGTTCCATATAGATTAATGTCTGTCATATATATAATGTATTATATAAACCTCCTCGGTGTGTGTCTACTAAAGCCGAGGTGTGTGACATTTGTTTTAAATGTGTGTGGCCAACAAAGGTGAAAAATCTCGTTCGCGCGGCTTGTGTGGAAGGGTTTCCCTCCGCTTTTGTCGGTGCAAGCATGGAGGTAAAAGGTGCAAGCAACCCGATAGTACCTATTACGTCTAGACCTTGTTTCAAGGCCGCTTACATGTAATCTGTGTTATATATTGTGCGTATGTGTTTGTGCAATAGATTAAAATATACGGTCTTAACAGATCCAGCCATGCGTGGCGGCCGGCTCTTCAGGGATGCACAACTAAACCTGAATTATTTCAGTGACAGCTCTCGGCTACTAGTAGCCGTGATCCTTCTGGCTTTGGGAGTGTATTCATCATTCACACTGAAACGCCAGAAGATATCGTGTATGTCAGGGAATAAAACAACATCGGACGATGCCATAATTTCGAATGTAGTGGCACTGTGTCAAACTGAACTGTGTGTTACTCGACCCGGTGTCATGTCTGTTAACCGGTGACAGACGCTAATGAGCAACTTCCGAACTCGAAAACGTGCGCGTTTAAAGGTGTTGCTAGCCCACAAAGCGAGAAGAAATGGCGTTACATCACTATTATGTTTTTTTCTTCTTCATTTTACAGACTTAGACGTGATAGACCGGTCATCGATAGATCAGACATAACGCCCACAACAATAAAAGAAAGCTGGAACTGATATTTTTTATCGCAATTAAAGCCTATCGCCAGAAATAAAAACACAAAAAAGTAATATACAATAAATAAAGAGAATAACGTGAGCTCTGGCAGATCTTTCAGTTAGTGCGTGGTTAAGATGGGGAGTATTCTATGCCACTTTGTAGTGTCCACCTAAGCATGAAACTAACCGGTGAGCAACAAAAACTGTATCCTGGCAATTACTGGAATATGCAAATGCCAAATGTCTTTCACTCCATCTACCTCGGAGGCACAAAACCCGGGAAGCATGACATCGTGAACCGAGTTTACTAAATGAATGAACGGACCAATACATCTGCGTTTTAGCTTTGTGTACAAGGCGAACTATTCGTGTTTAAAAAAAAAATAATCCGCCTTACTACCAATAACCACGAATATCGGAATCTTTAAAAATCACAGAAACTTTTAGGTCGCGTAGCTGCGAAACCATGACAATGGTGGGTGGTAACACCTCATGCTAATACACAGCATAGTTCCAATTGCAGTATACAATGTTCTTTATCTAGGCATGCTTCAGAAACGCAACGGCTCCATTTCCCTATTTGCGAAATACCCTTTTCACACCTTAGGCGAGATTCCCTCAAAGTTGCGGGAAAAAATGGCCACACACACAAAAAAAAGCGATCGTAAGTGTGAATAGATTTTTTTGCTCGTGTATGCCCCTCCGCGTATGCATAGAAACCAACCTGTTGAGCGCACGCGTCAATTGTCTTCAATCAGGGCTCACAAAAGTCATCTGATGATGGAGCAGTTAGCGAATGCGGCGCCAAGCTTTGCGCCTTTATCTCCGTCGATGTGCCAATCGGTGTCGCGTGTGGCAGGAGTGAGGCGCGTGTGGTGGTAACAATAGGGCTCATCACCCCGGGTGCCTATAAATAACTCAGTGATGGGGTACCAGTAACATTGTACAGCGTAACGGTCGGAAGCAACACACTGCCAACAGCTCTCTCTCTCTGCGTGTACAACAATTTCGATGCTGCTACTGCTTTACGCTTTAACTCATACCGCTTTGCCTTGCTCTGTGATCATAATCCACACCGAAGACGATTTCACATCAACCGCTTAGATACCCACTTGAGGTGAGATTTTAATTTCGGGTTTGCTGGCTAGTAGCTAGCTACTGACCAGTGGTACACTCTTTCCTGCAGGCGCGATGCCATGATTGCCCGCCGCCAGCAATTAGCCGGTGTGCTGTCCGTTTAACGGTGGCTCGTCGTCGTACGGTGCTGGTTTCACTGGCAACCGATGGGGCATTCAGGCCATTACCCTGGATTGTTTACGTCGTTTGTGCGTATCGCCATTATGTCCAATTATGTTATTAGAGCTGAGAAACAATCTGCTTATGCACGCTAAATCAACTCTTTTTATTGACTGTCCATTTAACGATAATCCAATTTACTCTTGTCGCTTACAGAGAGAATCAACAACAGCCATGACCATGTCAATAACCGACGGAAATTACCGAAGTTTGTCGACGCAGTTCCAGTACATGAGCAACGCCGACATGGACTGGGACATAAACGACCCCGTAGTGCCAAAGGTAAGAGATCAGTTTTAATGGACGTTTGAAATTGAAAAGTCTAGACAATTAGTGGACACTCTCGGCGGGCTATCCCGGATAACATTTCGGATTAAAAATTGTTTCAAAGCTGAAATAAGAAATGTTTTATTCGGCCCAGAGGCAACCCTGTTTCACTCTATCAAAGTTCTTAGTCTAAGCCTATTCATCTAGAAACGAACTTCCCGGGAAAGGGAGACATGGGTATGTGTGTGTATTCCCTCCCAATAAGTCCATCTCATTTACTGGCAAATTCTGTTCTCATTGAGTCAATATCTACGCGTATTGTCGTTCTTATGGTAAACTTTAGGTATAGGCTTTATTTACCGGCCAGCTCTCCCGTTTTGTTTACGCTGCTCATTTGAGATCGCCTCTTGTCTTCCAACAAAGCAGACTCCCGTGAAAGCATATGAAAGCTAAACTTTCTAAAGTAAAGAAACAATCTTCAGTCTGTTCGGAGCCTATTACATTGATTGTGTGGTTTGGTCCACACAATACGGCTTCAATGCGAATCGCTTTCTTTTGTACAGCTGCGGTCGCCCAGTTGACCTTTCACCCGCCTGACAGACGGCCGTGCGTACACCCTTCTTTTCTGGGGTACCCATCTTGCTTCGGGATCGCGACATTTGCTTTCGCGATTTCAATGGTTTTGTCATTTGTCAAGTTGACTTATAATCGTGCCAGCCGCCACGCACGTGTCGCACATAGAACATCATAATAATATATAACCTATTTTTATAGCTTGTTTGTTTGACCCCAGATACGAGGGCGTGCATTATTAAAATAATATAATTTTCATCATATTTGCTGCTAGTTACATGTTGTAGTATTTTTCTGCGAGTATACTAGACGGCGATCGCAGTGAAACCGGAACAGAGTCTCAATTTTCTTTATATTTTTTTATTTTATTTTAGCCATGCGTTTACGATCAATTCAAGGAGTGGACGGAGGGTCACACGAGGCTAATCTATGAAGGAAGTAACGTAGATGCCAAGAAACACTGTAGTGGTTGGGCCATGAGAAATACAAACAATCATAAATGTTCCATTCTTAAAAAATCTTGCCTTGGAGTTGTGATATGTGATAGAGACTGTACGCTGCCGACCGGGGAAAAAATCAGTCTTAGACCAGCAATATGCGACAAGGCACGAAAGAAACAACAAGGTAGGTTTCAAAAACTTCATCCCATACTCGTCTTCATCTATGTTTTCCACACGTTAAAACTTGTTAATTGCCCGATAATGCAGCGTGGCTATAACTAATTTTCTACTGTTTTTTTTTTTATAATCCACAGGAAAGCTTTGTCCAAATCCTGACTGTACCGGAAAGCTGGAGATTCGACCATGTCGCGGACACGGCGGTTATCCCGTAACCCACTTTTGGAGGCACGAGAGTGATGCTATTTATTTTCAATCCAAGGGCGTGCACGACCACAGCCGTCCAGAAGCAAAATTCACCGCAGAGGCTCGCCGCAGTCTGGGCACTAAGAGATACAAAAAAATATTCAACTACTTTGCCAAGGAAGGAGTGGTGAGTTTTCTTTTCCTTTCTTGATCGAAAATGTTTGATTCTCCGAAATATCGAACTTTTACGCTTCGCCAAAAACATTTTTTTTTTCTCGCATTATTAAAACCAGCTTGACGCGGAACGAAAGTGACCCTGTCTTATCAACTGGTCAAGTTTTACAATCACTTAAACTTGGCGCGTGTTTGTATCCCCGAGGCATGAGCATATGCTCATATGGGTTAGCCCATACCCATTGACGCTATTGTAATAGACAATGCCCTCTCGCCGGTCATAAATCCCCTCAACTATTCACCTATTGACACAGTGTTTATTTTCTGCGTTCACCTGCAGTACGCCGCCTACGGCAAATCACCACTGTTGAAAAGAAATTTTATTATATATGTGAGCGCGATGACTTTTCATCCTTTGGTACCTCCATCCTTTTTACAAATTACAGGGTACGGGTCTAGGGGTTTCTTAAGATCTCTTGTCTTGGTAGTAAAGCTGTGTAATCTCGTAAAACGTGCGAGACTGCAAGTAATCACCCAATCATTCGTGTACCCAGTTGTGTCTCCTTTACCGGCAATCACTAAATTATCACGATCACTTTTTTTTCTACAGAACAACCAGTTATTTTGTGGCCTTGATGTATACTTATCAAAATCCAGCCCTTTGAAGAGAGCGGCCGAAACCGCCGAATTTGAGAAGGTTAAAATCGAGCCTTCGGTCAAGAGACAGTGTATGGACCAGGAAAAAGAGTTAAACGGTAAGTTGAAAACCCGAGATGCACAACGTGAAACTTCACTTCAAACTTTGTAAATGACAACCTTGACTACAACACAACAAAACAACGTATTTTGTTAACGATTCAATTCTTTTTATTTCCACAGGCCTAATAAATCATATTATCGATGCCAAATCTATGGTGCCCGATACAGTGATGCAGTATGTTACCAAGACAACCGTTAGTGATGCGTCTCCTCTCGACTCGAAGGCTTCAGTCTTCCCGATACGGATGGTGGAGAATCAGTACAGCGGGATGGAATCAACTCTATGCGAGAACAACCATTACCAACAGAGGGCGCAGTGTGTACCAGGTGACGTTACCAGCGCAAACAGTTGTCAACTGGCCAATGGCTTCAATCAATCAACAATTTGCTATTCTCCTGTTAGTTTCCATGACAACCAGGCGGTACCAAACGGACAAACTTTCCCCAATGCGTCCTCACCTGTCACGAGCCTAGATACTAGCTCTATATACCAAAACAGTTCGTCGCCAGCAGTTAGCCGCTATGATCACATACCAACCGCCAATGACTGTGAACAATTGAATGTTAATGACGTCATGACTGACGTCATCAAGACTATGGCATCACCAAACAATTCCACGTGCCAGTTTGTTAATAATATGCAAGACAGCCTCGACGGTCGACGAAGCAGCTCACCGCGTGACTACTTGCAGCTCGATTCATACAAACTACCACATATTACTTCGTTCCTAGGCCAAAGCAAAGCCCCAAGACAAGTGCCATCGCCGATGCTATCACCAGTGCCATCACCGACTCAGCTAAGCCCATGCGGTAGTCCCTATGCCAGCAGTTGCCTTAGCAACCAACTAGACTCTTGTGGCGATCTTGAATCTCTAGACGTTAAACTGTTTGACCAATCGCCAGTCCCCGAGACTAGCAATATTCTTTCTCAGCTTCGAGGCATTCTAGACTTTCCAGAAATTTTTGACGAACTTCCCCTTTCCACCGAAGCCCACAACGACTCCGGCTATCACGACGTTGCTTACACCGGCTTCCAAAGAATGAACTCGTCCTCCGGTTACCACAGCGCTCAATACAGCGACTGTGCATGGAAACAACCAATCACAACAGCTTACGATATACCATCGGTGCTTTAAAGACTAGATCGACAGAGGGCGCTGTGACCCATACGGACACATGCCCGCATGAACATGAAATGTCATTTGTTTTATCAACTGAAATAAGTTAAACCAAATAAATATTTTTATTTCTAGAGTACACAGACCATTCATTTTACTCAAATGTGCAATGGGAGTTTTACGCTCCATTTTAAAATGTTTGGTCTGCTTTTATCCAGAGACGTTTTCGTAGTAAATTGTTTGTGAACAACGATATATAATATTTATACAGATAAAAGTGGTAATCACACGAAATTATTTAAAAAAAATCATTTTTTTTCTTTTTTCTGAAATAATACTAAATTTGGTACCACGTGACCCAAATTCAATACAGAGCATGCAATGATATTTATAGAGAAAGTACTATAGTTGTTGTTGTTATTATTATTAGATATTTTTAAAGTCTGTGATGTTTTTTTAAAAAGAGATTAAACTTATGTATTTGGTGCTTTTTAAAAAAAAGTCGCTGGAAACCAATAAAATCAAATTTATTATGTTAATACTTTCTTTTCTATATTTGTTGTATTGATGCCCGCCTCAAGGCTCCTCACATCGAAGCGTGTTCAGGGATTTGTCGTATTCTCGGGTGGACATCCGGGAGTTTTCACCGCCTGACAACCATCACGGTGAAAACAAAGGCCGAAAACTCTCGGAAAAAAAAGTGCTTTAGAATAGCTGTCGGGACTCCCCTGAACAGTGTAACAACATTACCCTTACACGTGCAACATATATTAATTTGGTTGCCCAGGGTTACTTCAAGGTTGATTTTGTGCTGTTTCCTCGACTTTAGTTGTTTTCACCGCCTTTTCGACCGGCGTTCCACAGCAGCTTGCAAAGAGCCCATAATACGCAGTAAGGCGGTGCGCGTCTTAGCTACGTGGAACGTCTTGTGGCGTAGCTCCGCCCGAGACTATGACTAATATGAATGGACGACGTCGCTGAGATCCATGTGTCTCCTTGGCTACCGCAATTGAGTACATTTCATAAATGAGACTTATTGAAGTTCACTGAGATATCATGATGCCGATATATTCTATTGATTCTGAATATTCACAGTCTTCCCAGTCTACAACTTCAAATCGTTAAGGGACTGTAAGTTTAAGGTAGCAACTCGTGCTCGTGGCCTCCCAGTTTTACCCCCTTTTTTCTGGCTAACAATAACGCTCTTTGTGGAAAGTTTACATTTCTATCATTAGACATGCGTTCAGAATTGGTGGCGTGAAAAATAGGTTTCGAAAATTTACAACGTTTTCCCTCAAAAGACGCATAAGTTAGTTTTTCACTTTAAGTCTTGTAACTTCAAAATAAAAAATCCAATTGACGCGCTGAATGGTTCAAGCAATGGATGTTTAATTCGCGCGTGTGAATGTGTTTGACGCTGACTGTTTATTTATTTTTTATGTTTTTTTTTTTTTTTCAAAACCATCATTTTTGACAGTCTTTATATGAGGTTAATTTGAACAAGATGTAAAAATTTCAAACAAATCGGATCACCCACTTTTTATTTACCGGAAAGTTAGCCGAGGCGGGCGAATGAAATTGGAGAAAACATCAGTTTTGTAACGAATACGGTTCACAATTCACTGACAATGATGAATTTTGCTATAGTCATTGTTGTTTTTCTATTTTTACCTTTTCCATTTGTTTTTGTAACGATATTTATTTTTAAAATTTTTAAGTCGGGGAGAAAAATACGTTCTATTTACGGCGGCCATTTTTAATTCTCTATAAACATGCCGTGCTGTTTTAGAAGACAATCTACACTTGTTAAGCATCTGCAAACAATGTTGTTGTAGTGTTAATTGTAGAACAAGGGATGTCGATGAGGCATTGTATTATATTTCATATTTATTTTTTTTGTTCGATCTCAATGTCAACTCGAGACTTATATTTATCAGACACAAGATTGTAATGTAAATATATAGGTAAACGGAAGATTGCTGCGTCTAATATAGAGTATACCACTTTCCCGGAAGTAGCAAGACTGGGGTGCAAAAATACTCCTGCTTTGCCATGGCGGAAAATACCAACATGTCAGGTTGTTGATAGTCGGTAGAAGGGAATTTTATTTTTACGACATCGATTGGTACACCCAGAAACACAATATAACGCGTGCAAGTTTACGTTACAGCCAAAACTGTATGGATGAGCATGCGAAACGTCACATTTCGACTTCCGGGAAAGTAAATCAACGCATGGTGGCGCTGTAGCCAATACGCGCGGCTGGGGGTGGAGAGCGACCCAAATTATAAGCTACGATCTTCTGGGATCTATGGTCAAAGTATTAGGCGTTGGATATTTGAATATTGTTTCATATTGCTACTCTTGTGTAAACAATTAAACTTCCTTGACAACGTGACATATAACGCGTTTGATCGTACCCTTCGTTGAAAGAGAAACACGACATCTTCAGTTAGCGAATTTGACTCCATGCAAGAATTAACAGAATCTTAAAGGGGACCGCTCAATCCCATGGATTGCACCACAGTCCCTCAAGGGAGGGACTGTGATTGCACCAAAGAATCATGGAACACTATTGTTAATCTATCTTTTGTTATCCATTGTTATTCTAATCCGGAAAGTAAACTTGTTGTGAGATTAGGCTTAACTGGAAGTGCCCCTTTAAGGTTTAGCAAACAAGCTTGTCTCTGGCTGGTCTGAATGTTATAGGTGCCAGTATTGATTATCCAATCGGACAGGGACGAACTGGTACCAAAAACTGGTCAATTGGTCCACCAAAAAACGGAAGGGGTGGGTAGTGTTATAGTCGTATCTTGTCTGTCATAACAGAACCCATACAGACGAACTATTTATGATCGTGTGTTCACGAACTCAAGTATATTGTTTAAAGCGTGGTGGTCGTCGCGCAGCGCGTGTTGGAATTTCATGTAAATAAACAATGCATTTTACACGCGTTGTATACGTCGCTATGAGTCCCATATCGAACAGGACGCGGCACGACGACTGCCGCCCTTTATTATTCAAGAATGACTAAATATCGCTTGCATCTCCTAAACATCTATACATTGTCTTTTATATATAGCCATATTACAGCCACTTCTATGCTTGCACTTTAAAGAGAAGAAAAATTATACCAATATTATTTGTAACTGGCGTTTCCAACAATAATTACACTAAATAGTCATACTGAATGTTGGCTATTAAAAGATCTGACGGCCCGACCCCAGGGGCCCGACGGCCGTTCTGGACTTTTCAAAAACGCACAGATTACCAGTCCGCCATTGCAATTGGGCACAATATTATAAGTACATGCTATGGCTTAGACTGGCAAAGCCGTAGCCCGATATGTAGGCGTGAGTAGGCCCTCGCCGGCTGAACGGCGTCAGTTGGGTTTGGAGCGAGCATCGCGGAGGGCGCAACTCACGCGACCTCGTCGGGCTAGCCAAGCCAAGCCATGGCAACGTGGGGAATTCTACAAAGTCGTTCTGAAGGAATTATTGTATAAAATTGCCACGACTAGGTCAGTCTAGCATTGGCTCTAAAAGCTGCTGCTACCACCACGGCGAACCACTGCATTTCAAATAAATACCGCTGAGGGCAGAATGCACTATAAACCATTCGAGGTGAGCAGGGCACATTCGGGGACTCGAGTCATGTGCTGATCTGTGTCTAAAAAAAAACTGTTGGCGGGAAAATATGAATATATTCTTGCAATTCAAGTTACATTACACAAGTAGATAATAAAATAGGACGCTACAACTTGGGTGTTGGCTACAGTGGGTCGGAATGGGTACCAAGTTTCAGTAACAATATTGTTTTTTCTTCGTTACGAAGTATGTTGAGGAAAATATTGTTTTCAACGTTACACCTGGCATTGACAGTGATTGATGGAGTAGTAAGAGTTTATTTATGAGACAGAATCGGCCAGCAAAGGAGCGCAATTAGTTCACATTAAAACTGATAACTTTGTTTGGTATCGAGCATTCCGCAGATCCAGGGGTGTTAACAATTCCATTCAAGTTGTTGACAGATGACTGTCATTTTTCCGGCTGGGGGTCCCAGGAAAAAACAGGAAGACCAAGCTATTTTGAAATTGAATAAAGGGGGCATGCCCTTTTCCCATATATTAGAAATAAAATTTATCATTAATAAAAAATATCAAAACAAAGGTATATAACATAACCTGGTATATGAAATATTTGTAACTCCTATATGTCAATATCACCACCACCATTTCAAAATCACAAGTGCTATTTAACACGGATGCCATCATCACCACTGTCATGGACAACACCAACATGGATCACACAATCACCGTTGCCATGACTGAAAACACTGTCATGGACGGCATCATCACATTTTACTAAAATATGTATATGATATTTAGAGGAGTAAACAATTGTCACTTCCGGTCTGTTATACTATACCATGAATATTTACTTTTGAGGTATAAATTTTGGTATGTGTATGTTCTTGGATATTTCAGTTTCGTTGTCCTATACTTTGTTTAGTAATTCGGACTTCCCAGATTGCGTAAAAACGGATAGTTCGTGATTTTGACACATAAAATGCCTTGGCTAACTCGTAAGCTGAGGGATGGTCGCTTAGGTATATACACTCTAACTTGCAGTATGTAGACCTAAATGCACTGAACAATGAAAAACAAATTGCCTTGCGCAAAAGTATGTTCGATATGATAACATAAACACGGTTTTCACCATCGCTTATTATGACACCCTCAAAAGCGAGTGATTCGATTTTCCCTCAAGGGTAAACAATGGTTAATTCGTGTTTTGTACTATGATTTGAACCGGGAATTTGAATCAGTTTCATGTGCTTCGCGTTTTCATTTGCCTTTAATAGCATTTGGGGTTCATCACTGCCGTCCCTGGAATCTTACCGATATCGATTATTCGCAATTTCTGTAGCCATCGCCATTGTCGCCATTAATTCACACACACAAAAAAACCTCGTGATGTAATAGTTTGAAATGTTTTTCACCCTTGTCGTCTATTTTAATTAACCTAATCCTAATAGACCATTTTCCGTTCACTGCGAGAACCACGCGTTATGCGTGAAATCGAACGTAAAAACAGGACAAACAAAGGTCATAGCGTCGTAGTCGCGTCAAACATCGCGTGGGATTCGACAAACGCGAAAGTATTTCGGGGACATTTCCATGCTTAATAATGTGCTGTTCACATTTGATGATAGGCAATTTCGATTAAGTAAGGGTATTCGAAAGCAATATTCCTCTGTCGAAGATCGGCCGGTCAATGTAAGCTGCGAAATAAAGAAATTCTAGTTCAAAATCAAATCGTTCGATTTTTGCGGCAGACGTTCGACGCGCGTCTTTCATGCATCTCGCGAGATCTCGCAATTGTTCGGAAAATCACCTATTATCCAGACCAGAGTGAATACATTTTTTTCTGTGGATTATTAATTTCCTTGAACAATATTGAACCATCCTTCTGGAACACCAATAACACTAATACTTACAGTATGCCACTAAAGCAGTATAACAAGAATGCATGATGTAACGCCCATTCTATAAATGGTCAAATGTTCCTTGGTAGATGTAAGAAACTAGGTGATGGTAGTGATAATATCAGAGCATGGGTATATATGGACGGTATTCCCAGGTTTAACACCAGTTCTTAGTGACATTAATTCTCAACTCCGATGAAAGAACCAGTTACTGTGACAAAGTCCTACTCACTGCGAAACCTACTCACTATTGATGAAGCTACAAGTATAATCACAGGGAGCCCAGGAACTATAATCAACTGTAATACGCAGTCTCTATGAGCGGCGGCGGGGGGGGGGGGGTATCGGCTGGTAT